TATTTGAGAGATACAGCCAATGAAAGATATTACTTTCTTCACTGTAAGAAAGTCATAAAGCATCTTCGGAACAACAACCGATGAATAGAAGATGTCGAGTAAAGACAAGTTCCACAAGAAGAAATACATGGGATTGTGCAGATTGCGTTCCAGGGTGATGATCGACATGACAGAGAGGTTTCCAACCAATGTTGATATGTAGATTATCAAAAAACAGATAAAGAGGGCCATCTGAAGTTCCACCATATCTGTCAGACCAAGCAAAACAAATTCCACTAGCAAAGTTTGGTTTCCTGTAAAAACAAATCAATAAGAGGTAGCCATAAAAATGAAAGATTTTCCCAAATATATGTACTCAATGTTTAACTAAAATTATTTATAAAACTCAATAAATCATAAGAGTGGTTAGTAAGAGATAATTATTTATCTATATCCCATATGACTGTACAGGTACAATACATATCTACAGACTGGAATTAAATTACTGTGAATGTAATTGTTAAAATGATTTTGTGAATAGAAAATAATATTACTCTGCTTGGCTGACTGCCCTAAGAAGGTTTATTTAGGCCTTAGGTCTTAAACGCAAAAAATCGTCACAGGGGGATGGGGCATGACTGTAGAGGGAGAAAGCCGCATGGTGGCAGAGCTCCTCAACTATTTCTGGCAACTAGCCTTAATAGCCATCATTTTTGGACACCATCCTGAAAGCGGGACAAACACTCTACCACACACAGAACTGGACCAGGACTCATCACTAGTCTATTCATCGAGTGCATCAGAGGCAAACTCCCTTGAGGTCTGCTGGGCAGCTCAAGACTAGAGAAGCGGACAGTCTCTTGTTCTATGGTGCCCTGTCACCATCTGGGCTTCATCCCACCTCCCCCCGAGCGGGTGGGGGTCATCTCGGCCTACACTGACTAAGACAACCTCTCACTGAAATAAGTTTGAAGGCACTAAAGCACCATACCGCACTAATGCAGCACCTAGCTGACGGTCCCAAAATAGCAGACACCTGTGCTCTCGCCAAGTGGGACTTCTTACAGGAGTTTACCAAGTTGTGCAGAGCCTTTTGGCTGATGCTTGAACACTCCACTACCTCCACAGTGCCTCGGCATAGCCCAAAGAGCCTGAGGCTACAGATGGTCAGGAGGCTCCTGTTGATGGCACCCGCAACACAAGATGGCACTAGAAGAGGCCCACTTACCTCAGCTCACACACCCAGAGGATTTGGTAGTGGCAACAATATGGCCAAGCCAACCCTGTGTATCAATGCAAACCAGCCCCCGGGAACACTTGGAACGCATACAAAGGAGAGCACGATGCTACAGCCTGCAATTGGATCTGAAGGCTGGTTAGTGCGTGCATGTGACTGCAGGCGGGCCATAGACATAGAGATGTGGAGGCAGCGGGCTCCTATCAGATTTTTGGGGTCCAGTGCTCACCGAAGGGGAGTCGGATAGACTCTAGTTACTATGCTTCTGCACACAGTTAGTTTTCAAAGCACACGTTATTATTTCTGCTCGCTTTAGTCTTTTTTTTTGTGCCATCTCACTTAATGTATTATTATGCCAATGAGAAGTTAATGCTATGTCAGGGAGCCGGTCAGTATTCAGCACTATTAACAAATAACCATGCTCTATGTTCTACTCTTATAAGCTCCTGCTAATGTGAGGTTAGCTCAGTTAAGCAACCATTACCCTTGTTACTATGTCTAGCATGTGATATAAGCATAATAGACCAAGCATGCTCCTACTTTTATACTTTCTTATCCTGTATCACTAAGCCATTGGTCCATGTAGTCAGGGCCGGACTGGGGATTCCAAAGCAGCCCTGGAAAAAAAATCTATGCCAGACCCATAAGTCATTGCGCCATATATTGTCGCATATAATATGTAAGGCTATGTCTTGCCACCCTAGGCTAGAGTTCACTCACCACTAGGACCACCAGGGATGGATGGCAGCCCCAGCAGCAGGATCCCCCCCTCCCAGGCTAAAGGTAAGCAGGGAGGGGGGAAATAATCACTCAGGTATAATCACAGCAGCCTCACTCACAGATACCCTGCACCCCTAACACTCACAGCACACACACTGCACCCCTAACACTCACAGCACACACAAAATGCACCCCTAACACTCACAGCACACACACTGCACCCCTAACACTCACAGCACCCTCACACACACACTTCACGTCTGACACTCACAGCACACACACAATGCACCCCTAATACTCACAGCACCCTCACACACACACACACACTGCACCCCTGACACTCACAGCACCCTCACACACACACACTGCACCCCTGACACTCACAGCACCCTCACACACACACTGCACCCTTGACACTCACAGCACCCTCACTCACACACACTGCACCCCTGACACTCACAGCTTCCTCACATGCATACACTGCACCCTCACAAACAGCTTCCTCACATGTACATAGCACCGTCACGCAAACACAGCACCCACTCACACAAAGCACATACACACTGCACCCATCACACACAGCACCTTTACCCAGATAGCACCCTCACGCAAACACAGCACCCATCACTCACACACACACTGCACCCCTCTCACACACACTACACCCCTTACACACACACACGCACACACACAGATCACCCTCACACACACTGCGCAATATGCTTTCCTGGCATTTTTGTCTCCTGGTATCCCAACTATGGAGACACCAGAGACAAATTTCAAGCAAACACAGTGCAAGCATGTTATTAAATTTGCTTGCGCTGTGCAGAACAAATACTGGGTATTTTTCTCATGCCAGAGTTCTTCAGCAGAGCTACCCTCGAAGAGCATTGAACCAACATGCTCACTTTGTGATGGGGCGTGCTTGTCATTGGTGATGACAAAACACACCCTATCTGGCACCGCCCCCTTCTTAGTGGGCCGCTGTAATTAAAAAATGCCCGGGCCGAATTTTCTCACCAGTCTGGCCCTGCACACAATGACACAGACACACATTGCATGACACAGACACACACACACCATGACACAGACACAGACACACACACACACCATGACACAGATGCACACACCATGACAGACAGAGATACACACACACCATGACACAGACAGCCACACACAATGACACAGACACACACACCATGACACAGACAGACACATACACACACCATGACACAGACAGACACACCATGACAGACACACACACAAATGACACAGACACAAACACACATACACTCACATTGACACACATAATTGCTACCTGTGTGCTGGCGGCCGCATGGGGAGCTCTGATGGCGGCTGCATGGGGGAGCTGGCTCTTCTGGCGGCCGCAGAGGGAGCTCTTTTGGCGGCCGCAGGGGGAGCTGGCTGTTCTGTCTCTGCTCCCCCGCCCCAGCGTGCCGCTTAAAAAAGGAATAATATGTGTCTATAGAAAAGATAATTGGCACAAGCAAATGACCAAAGATACTTTAATATATATAAAAAACACAATTTAAATATCCATAACGCGTTTCGTCACAAAGGGACTTTATCAAATGGAATAACCAGGTTTATCAAATGTAACACACCCGCTTTAAAGAGACCGGGGCTGGAATATGATGTCAGCTGCCTGCCTTGCCCCAGGTGCCGACGGTCCACCGGGAAATTTCCTGGTATCCCAGTGGGCCAGTCTGGCCCTGCATGTAGTATGATGTCTGTGCCATTCCTGTTTACTATTCACTAACAGTCTGAGTAAAATATTGAAATTGTGTAGTTCTAAGACATGCCATGCTAATGTTTTATCATATTACTTCTTTCGTGACATTAATCACTATTTATAAAATGTTATCGGATACCATGCCAATCTGTTTTTGAAGTGCTTTCTATTACTTTCTTGGTATAGCAAGCTTGTCTGTTATCACATGCACAAAAAAATAATAATATGTAACGGATCGCCTGGCACCCCAACTGGGTACCTCCGTTGATGGATGTTCCTAGTGCTTCCCGAGGGCTCCAAGCACTCCACTAGACACCATAACCACTGCAGACCCCATGAACCGCTGCAGCTTGGTTGGGGGTCTCGCCGTCGTCCACCCACTGTGGACCCAAGACCAGGATACAGCTTCCAGTAGGTAGACCTCTCTTAATCCAGAGAGCAGGAAAAGGAACAAGCTCTTACAAGAGCTTACTCTGGGGAGTATAGTTATTATAGCAATCCCCAGAGTGTAGGTAGTTCTCCAATCCCCCAAACATAAGCCAAGACTTCATGAAGGGTAGAACAGGTCTGTTTAATGAGCACAAAGGCATTTATTTTATACAGTTTTCCCCACAAAGTTACCACCCACGTGGACCTTGTGGAGCACAGGACACAAAGTCACAGCAGCCAATAAACACAGCATTGTACAGTTAAGCACTCCCAGCTAATGTACACAAAACCCTCCCCTCTGCTTGTGATATAATTACCAAACACAATGGACTAACTCAATTACCACAGGCAGAAAATATCTAGCTTTACCCAAAGTCCAGAAACACCCCAAAACAACAACATATCCCCACATCCCTGGATAGCCCTGATCTGGGTGAACAACATATCCAAAGTTTTATGGAAGTCACATTTGACCGCAATCATGGCTTTCATGCCCAAAACAGTTCCACAGATTTAGGCTGCGCGGCCGGTTTATCTTCTCCTCTATCCTGAAGATAATTGGCTCAATTGGCTGTGGTAACTTAATTATCTCCAGGTACAGGAAATATCTCTAAGTCAAAAACTGTTACAAAAACCACAAAAAAATACATAACTCTTATAATACAATGTTTAACCTATAT